TGGGTGGCCAAAGGCCTTAGTAAGTTCTGGTGGTGTAGGGATTTCTCAAATGGTGGTGAGAAACCATGTTCGGTGGTGTTTTTGGATATGGAGAGAACAAGCTCACGTGAGGTGGGAAACTCTGTATCTTTAGGTTTTTTGTGCTTTATGAGTTTTTCTTCCTCATATTAGGGATGAGGTATTTATATAGTCTTATGGACCAAGATTTAAGGGACTCCTAATAAGTGGATGTCATTCTAACTTGACTAGGGGAGTTGTTGATTACCCACTTCTTAGGGATTCATGGGCATGACTTCACACATGTAGTTATGGACTAAGTAAGTGTTGTTGTTCATGTTTCCCCTTAGGGAAAGTCCCTTGCTACGTGAGGGTGACGCATTAAGGGGCGGGTGCCTGGTAATGGAAATACATATATCAGCCCATTTTTGGACCTTTGCAAGTATATCATTGCAGTTGTTATTATAACCATCGGAAAAATATCGTTTAGGATCCTGATTACCTTCTTGATATATTTGATATGAGCATAGGTATTTTTGTCTTTTCTTCAAAAGTTGTTTCCATTTTATTTTTGATCGCCATCCGCACAACTATCTTTCTTTTGACTGTTCCCTTCGATAGGGTATTCTAATGGGGGAAATCTCCACTGGTGGAAGTGACGAAGTTGTATCATCCAGTGACAAAGGCTATAAATTGACATTTTCTTCTTTGATCTTTCTCTTCATTATCACTGTTATCGTTTCCTCATTTGGCCTTTGTCACAAACTCTTCGTATTCTTTAGGTGTGCCTTCTCTCGACAATGAGATCGCTTCTTTAGTGGTAATTCTTCTTGCCTCTTGAAGTCTTTTATTTTCTTACAATCGTTATTTCGGCCATCCTCCTAAGTATAGTGAAGTATAATTCATTTTTTTATTAAGTATTCAATGGCGTCTTTTAGGTGTACTCACTCATTCATATTGTGCCATAGCTTTTGTGAAAATGGTATAATATGGTCTTATTAGGTCTAGCTGATTCTTTCACGCAGTGAATGTTCCTCATATCAGCTTCCATGAAGCTGGTGAGGCTAATTATTGCAAAATATTTTTCCTCGACATATTAAGGGGTGTGTAGGATGAAAATATGGCTTGGGGACCCGGTGGGTGTCTCGGTCCTCGTCATCGTGATGCAGGTTAGAGCTTATTTCAGTGGATCAATTATATTCGAGTTCCCTGATTTTCACTTTTTCTGTTGTGGGCTTTTCTTCGTAGTTAATATACAATTAGGCTCTGGCATGGAGGTGTCTCATACTTCTAACACCATCCAACCCTAAATTTTCCCTAAACATATTGTTCGTTCTTAACCCCTTTTCAAAGATCCAGCATTTTAGTCAATTTGATTTGCCTACTTTGACGAAAACCTTCCTAAATCTGTCAATATATTCCTACAAGGTTTCTTTCTTCCTTTTTTGGATTTCAATGAGGATGGTTATCGTCTTAGATTTCTGTTTATGGGTCGGGCCATAAACTCAATCGTAAAAGAATCACACAATTTCTTCCAATAGTTTATATCATGGTTGTCAAACTCGTGGGTAGACTTGTAAACTCGTACAAGTTTACGAGTCTAGGAAGCATAAATGAGTAGACTCATGAATAGAATCGTTTTTTGGTAGACTCTGGTAGACTCGCACAAACTCGTATAGACTCACGAGTCTATCACGAGTTTACGAGTCTATAAGTTTATTTTTTTGAATTTTTTTAAAACCAAAAAAAGGCCTAAATTTCCCAAAAGATTTTATTTTATTTTTGTATAAAAAAACCTTTTTTTTTGTTGTACGAGAATTAAAAAGTCTCTCTCTCCTAGTCTCTTATTTTAGCAAACTTTCTTCCCCCTTCATCAACAGCGTGAGTTTATTTTGTCTCTTACTTTATTCATGTCTGTGGTCATAAATCAATCATTTGTGTGTAAGTATTTTCTTATATGTTTCACTTGGATGCTCTCATGTATGATATATTGTATAAAGGTGATGCACTATTGTTCAATCAGGTCCAATGATCCCAATGTCCATGTATCAATTTGCATGTGATAAAATAGTTTAGAAAATTTATGATTTATGGCAGAAAATAGTTTATGAAAGATATGTTACATGCTGAAGGGTGGAATTTCTATAGAGATATGACTTCATAATTAAAGAGGTTTTCAATTCGTGTTCTAAGCTTAATTTGCATCTTCTATGGTTGTGAACGTAATTGAAGTTCGTTTGAAATGGTAATGAATTATTATTTGTTTGTTTAAAGACTTGAATATTTTTTAGAAACATTGAGTTGAATTATTATTTAACTTTTTGGTTCATACAAAGAGAAGAAATGAGTTGCATCAAAAAAAAAGATGAATAAATTGGTTTATATCATGTACAATTTAAAGTTGAAATCTGGAAAAGAAAAATCAAATAGTGTTGTTTTTTTATTTGAAGATAGTCATTCAGATGATGAATAAATAATTGAAGAACATAATAAAGAAAATATGAAAACTGAAGTTAATGTTGAGTAAGATGATGTTATTGTTAATAATGTTGTGAAAGCTAATGTTGTTGTAACTAATATTGTGCAATGTGGTGGCAGTGGCAATGTTAAATTAGGTAGAAGTGGAACTTCAAGCAATCCAACATTGATTAATGATGAGTAAGGTGTCTCATCTGAGGCAGATTTTGATGATGATACTCAAGATACCGATAAAGATGATGGTGATTATATTGGTGGTTGTGATTTCACTGGAGCTTTGAATGTTTGAAGCTATTAGCATACATATTTTATGATTTTGTTGCTTGATGTAGTGGTCAATTAAGAGAAAATTAGTATTTTAAGTATTAACTATATACTTTGCAGTTTTGTTTACTTTTTATCGAGTTTTTTTTTTGTTAAAAAATTAGTTATGGAATATGAAAATTAAATTTTCATGATAATTGGTGTTGTATTATATATTTATGTCATAAATGAGGAATTTATAAGTATAAAAACATAGGAGTGTGTCATATATGTGTCACTTATAGATTTTTGAAAGTCATATTTAATTTTTCATAGACTCGGACGAGTCTACGAGTCGAGTCTATAGACCCTTTACGAGTATGAGTTTGAATAGACTTATGAGTTTGACAACCTTGGTTTATATAACCATTATGCAAGGTTTTAAAGTACTTCATGGCTTCCCCTTGAGGGTCAGGACATATAGTTTTCACTTCATTGCGCTTCTGACGTGATGGTAGTCAAGCATGGTGTATCTACGTGTTCAACATCTTCATTTAAACATTTGATTTCGTTGTATATGTCCAATTTTGGTGTTCTTTTAAGGGATTTGGAGATTTTTGTGTCAAGGATATGTTTGTAGAACAAATTTCTCCTGCGGTCAGGGTCTTGGGCTTCAAACTCTTGTTTGTTCCTTCCTTAAGGTTGGTGCAACATGGATCTCTAGTGGCGACTACTTTCATGAGGAGAATGATTGTCTCCTCTACTCTCGAATTCATAAGGAGAAGAATGGTGATATCATTACGGACAACGTTCAAATGATCTCAGATTTTCCTATTGTTGAGAAATGGTATCATCGAGAACCACTTGAGGTGTGGCTTCGCGATTACTATGAGGTGTCGCTTTTTGTGGTGAGTAGCTTAGAAGTGGAGCAACTTGTAGATTCTCTAATACTAAGAGGAATCTAGGGGGATTTGGAGATTTTTGTGTCAAGGATATGTTTGTAGAACAAATTTCTCCTGCGGTCAGGGTCTTGGGCTCCAAACTCTTGTTTGTTTCTTCCTTAAGGTTGGTGCGACATGGATCTCTAGTGGCAACTACTTTCATGAGGAGAATGATTGTCTCCTTTACTCTCGAATTCATAAGGAGAAGAATGGTGATCTCATTACGGACAACGTTCAAATGATCTCAGATTTTTCTATTGTTGAGAAATGGTATCATCGAGAACCACTTGAGGTGTGGCTTCGCGATTACTATGAAGTGTCGCTTTTTGTGGTGAGTAGCTTAGAAGTGGAGCAACTTGTAGATTCTCTAATACTAAGAGAATCTAGGGGATGAAACGGTTGGAGAAGTTACAAGGACTATATGAGCTTCCCTTATTATAAAATGTGGAACTCATCTTACGGGAGTGAGAATAGGTGTTGTTGCCTCAACGGCGGCGTTGGCATTGTGATTATTGGTTACCCGGTCTCTCTTAAACACTATCATCGTCAGTACAGACTTAATCGGAGACTAGAATGAAAGATTGGTTGCAACTATTAGAATATGGTGGATTTTCATGGAAATTCGTTACAATAAGTCGATTTTCACAAACAGTACCATTGTTCTGTAGTAGAACGAGAGATCATTGATACGGTATATGAGAGCTCCTTTTGTGCAGTAGTGTGAAGATGGGCATGCAAAGCTTACATTCCAAAACCTATGTCATAGAGGTGTAAATTGCAAAAATGAACCAAAGAAGTCCCGATGTCCCCGTCTTATTAATTTAGAGAAAATGCAAATCCAAACTCAATCAAAATTAATTTAGAGAAAATGCAAATCCAAACACAATCAAAACATATTTTCTCAGTCTAATCTAACACAAGTCTGGTTTGAGCAGGTGTCCATGGATACATGTTGCCTATCGACCTCTCCCCTCAACTCCAAACTTCCAAAGAAATCATAAAATAAACGTTGATAATGTCTACAGACAGCTAATATTGCTAGTTTTCCGGATTTCCTCACAATCCAGCACTCAATCCTGATATCCTGATATATAGCTCAATCGTGATAACAATAGTGGCAATTGGAAGGACTGTGATAAAACAAATTCATAGTATTCAAACTAAATATAAAAATGTATCAAACAAAACAGTTACTCTTAATCCAATACAAAAACATGCCAAAATCGTAACATAAATATACTTCAAGTTAAAATACAAACTGACTAAAATCATACAAGCTGATCAAAATACCATCAGCAATTCTGAATCTTGAAATGCGGCGTAAGTTCAAAATTAGATATACTAGTACTCAGATGGAGAAATAACATCATCAATTTTCAATATCATCTTGACAACTTGAGTAGCAAGCAATATCTGTTGCTGCTTTCCTATCAAAGTTTCAAAGACATTTTGCTCCCGCATGTCGTTTGTGCCAACATCATTGCAATCAATGCCAAAGTGAGGATTATTATCCTGAGGAAAGGGTTAAAAGTCAGTGTCAAGATGAACAGAATTATATAGACATCGATCAGCAATCAAGCAGACAAAAAAAACAATTATCACCTTTATTTGTTGAGACTTCACTGCAGATAATGTTTCAATTGGTTGGAGACCACTATTTTCAGCAAGGGCCATAGGGATAGATTCCAAAGCATCCCCAAATGCTCTAATGGCATACTGCAGAGGAAAGAAAAAATCACAATCAGCAAATAAAAGCCTTTCTTTGAAAACGGTGAAAAGATGTTCACTTTTAATTCCAAAAATGTGCATTTTTTCATTATTTCCTAAAATGCATAATTTCTAATCAGCACTTCATCTTCCTATCAGAAATGCTCTTTTAAAGAATCCCACATCTTAGTCACATTCATTACAGCTTTTTAATGATTTTAATAGTACTACATATTTTTGTAGAAGAATTTTTTAATGACTATCAAAAATGTTCTAAAATAGTTTTTCATATTAATTTTATTTTAGGTATTTAAGCTTTTTGCTACAACTTTGATTAGCTATCAAAACTTCAACAAAAAAAAAACTTAAATTATAAGCTATTTTGAATAACTTCACAAAAATCAGTTTTGAAATTTATCTTTTCGATAAATTGTGTTTTTACTATGTTTAATCTTCAATAATGAATATTTATGTTCAAGTGTCAAAATCAGTCCTTTAACCTATAAATAAATGAGTTTTAAATAACTTCTACTATTTTATTTTAAAAAATCATTATTGAAAATTCAATGAAAAATTACTTTTTTAAATGATTAAATAAAGACTTATTAGCCAGTTAAAATTATTAATTAACACCTATTTTAGAAACCCCCAAAGGTTGGCCTAGTGGTGGAGGATTGGGTCTTGAGAGTATGCTCCTCCCAAGGCCTCAAGTTCAAATCCTATTAGGTGCAAACAATCCTTGTGTTGGGCCAGTTCATACGGAACTTTGCTCTAGCTTTAAACGGGATCCCCACTAGTGGACGGTGGGATTGGTCCTCTTGGATTAATCGGTCGCAAGGCCGGATACCAAGATTTCAAGAAAAAAAAACCACCTATTTTAGAAAATGAAAACAGGACGTGTTTTCTAAAGCAAACTGAGGTTCATTCTACACTTACATAATTGTACTTTCAAACTATATTTTATTCTAATACACTCCGCATATCATCTCAAATTCTATCTGCGGGTATATTTGAGATGAGTTGTGGAGAAGAAAAATTGCATATTCATACATTCATATAATGTAAAATATATTTATTAGTGTATAGGATGATGGGGTTAGCTAGTGTTGACATATAAAGTGAAGGCCTAAAACCTTGGCTTGCCCCACACGAAAATGAGGGTGCCGGGCATGCCCACAGGTCAGGACTGTTTTGCCACCCCCAAACTTAGGTGGTTTGCACCGGTAGAACTGTAACTTTTTTTAGTTAGGAGAGTGGATAGGATGGAGGGTGGTCAAAAGACTATAGGCATATTAAGACCTGATAGAAATAAAATATATGATAGAATATTATGGTGTTAAATAAAATATATGATAGAATATTATGGTGTTGCTTGATACATGTAGCCTAATATTAAGGCTAATACGCTGCAGTTTCTAGGTATTTTATATCCTATTTATAGATTTGTCTTATATGGTTTAGCTTGGACTATATAAAATAAACTAAATACTTTGCCAAGATAAAGGAGTAGATTTTCAGTGAGATTGAGGCAGCTAAAACACTCCATTTTGCCCCTCCATTTTCAGAACTTCTATACATTAAGTTGGATGAAGAGCTTACTATGATAAACATCATGTTAACAGACAGTGTATCTTATTCTTTATTTTATTTCAGCCTTTTTTTAATTTGAAAATTTAATAATTAGATTAATTTCATATTTTAAATTTAAATATTTTGGCTTAAATTTAATAAACACGAGCAGAATATATATCTGTTAGCCAAACAACACATTAACACCAAGTTAGAAGGGTCTATTAGCAATTATAAGAGTTGAGGAATAAATTGGGATGAAAGTGACCTTGAAGATGCCCACTTAGCAAAACCTAAAGTTTAGAATGATTGTAAGCACGTCTCCCAACTAAATAAAACTGTGGGTTAATATGCATACCTGTTCTACTCCAGGATATTTGTCAGCAGCTGCTTCAACAGCAATAGAGCACGCAATCTCAGCCGAACCACCACCATACACAATTGAGTTATTGCGAATAAGATTCCTGGCCACACATAGTGCATCGTGAATACTGCGCTTTGTCTCTTCAATGATCATTTTGTTACCTGCCAGTATGAAACAAGACAGCTTTGGTTAATTTGTCAAGAATGCTCAGATATTCATCAGTCCTTAAAGTGTATTCTATAAAGCTCCATAATACTACTACATAGTCTCAAGTAGTAAATCAGTGTCAAACAATACAACTTGAAAGCCATCTCTCAGCCTATAAAATGACTAATTATATAAAATTCAGTGCAGACCGGTAAAGCAAATATGCTAAAAAGTAAACCTCACCTCCACGAATGAATATTGTTACAGCCCTTGAATTAGCACAGTGCTCAATGTACAACATCCGGTCTTTAGTTGTTCCAAATGCTTTCTCTCTAACGATACCAGCCTAGAATAAATTAACATTAATGTTAATTTTGGTCAAATCTACAAACAGAAAGCATAAGAATCATTGTGTAAGGCAACCACCCAGTAAAAGGCATCAACAGATGCAGGGATGCCAATATACTAGCACATGTTTTAAATTTCTTTCCCCACATTTGTATGTGAAATAAAATATTAAACCCAAAAAGAGGAATGTCCCGGTAACCCATACATAAAATCAAGATTGAAATGATACCTTTCCTAACTTTTCTGCAGTTAACTCCTGGAACCTAGGAACAATTCTTCCACCTTCATTTACAAATAGATAATATTTTTGTTAATTAATAGAGATGGATAAGTAATAACTTCGAATAGACTACTCATTATTCATATGTTACACGGTTATAAAAAGAATATTCTGAGTTTTCAAATCAAAACAATTCTAATAGAAGCATACCTGTTGCTATAGCAATCAATTCCAACTCAACACCACCAACCCACCTAACAGCTGGCAAGTTCCTGTGCATCAAGAGATGATTTGCTTCATCATCAAAACCCCATTGGCAAATAACAAGGGTTGCACCTACATCCTACAAATCAATATAAATCAAAAAAAAAATAATAAGTTTATAAATTATAAGTAATATCAATTTGCACATAAATCAAAAAAAAAGTTCATGCACGAGATTAAAGCAAGAAAAGTGTGATCCACTCATATAACAAAGTTGATGTAAAAAAATTATGCAAATAGACGGTTACAAAGATGACATTAGTAGAAATATTTCCAAGACTATCCAACCTTGCATTGCTGAACCATGTCATCAAAATACTTCTGTTCTTGATTCCTTAACGTCTGAAACTTCTCCACTGTGTCAATATCAACCTTATGCTTTGTTTTTGGCTTCGGGGGCTCAAATGGGCAAGTCAATATAGCAATGTTAGCATCTACAATTTGCTTTGGCATTTGAGGGTGGCTCATATCCTTGTCAACAATGATTCCATACACCAACTCAGTATCCTCCAATTTCCCACCAACTTTACCTTCTACTTTAATTAGATCCAAGTTAACATCTTTTCTCTCTAGATCAGCAACAGCAAGAACAGCTTTGACAGCAATCTCAGCCAAGCTACGCTTACACCGATTCACACTGCAATATTAAAACAAAATATGCATAAACAAATATTAAATTATAAAGCTGTCTATAACCATCTTAAAATTCAAAAAAAAACAAACACAAAACTGCATGAATCATATATACAAAGCAAAAGTACAATACAGATCATGTATTAATCATCAACTTAACTTACATTTTGGATGACAGCGTAGTCATACAAGTCTGAATCAGAGGCTCCAAAATAGTTTCTCCGAATTCAAACTTATTAGCAATTTGTTCCAGATGTTCAACAGCAATCCTGGAAGCCATTTCATATCCCTCGGCAATCCTAATGGGGTGAATTCCACGTTCCAAAAGCCTCTCGGCTTGCTCAAGAAGAGATCCAGCCAACACAACAACTCCGGTAGTACCATCACCAATTTCATAGTCTTGACTCCTCGACAACTCCACCATCAGCTTCGCAATCTGGTTGTCAACATCCATCTGTTCCAATATTGTTGCTCCATCATTTGCTGCACACATACACACACAGGAGCGCAATGTTACTCTAAATTTGCCATAACAGTGAATAAAATATCATAATAGTAACACAAATTACACGGTTATATCATTAAACAAAAACTAACGTAAACCATAGATATTAGGGTTTCATTTCATGGATGCAGAATAAAACGATGTGAAGCATAATGGAAATGAAGAGAAAAACGGAAAAGCATACAGATGATGACGTCGCCGTCGGGGCTCTGAAGCATCTTGTCCATGCCTTTGGGACCGAGAGATGTTCGGAGGATACGAGCGACGGCTTTACCGGCGGAGATGTTAGCTTTCTGAGCATCGAGACCTCGAAGCCTGTTCTTCGTTTCTTGCTCTCTGAGGATTATGAATGGCCTTCCGAACTCGTCGAAAGCCAACGCCATTTTTGGTCTATGAGATCGCAAACCCTAACCCTATGTTGATGTTTTCGTTCGCAGTATTAGAAAACTGCGATCGGAAAAATGAGAAGGGTGAGGTAGAAGAAGTGTAGAACCCTAAACAATGACACTCTCTCAAGTTGCTATTGCTATGCTTCTAATTACTTCCTTATGCTTCCCACCTTTTTCTGAGATTTTTCAATTACAGGCCCGATCAAGTTGGGCTACTTGTTTATCGGCTGGGCTTTCATTTTTTTTTAATTCTCACACCCTCCTCGAGCTTTTTTTTTTTTTTAAAGAGGATTTCTTAATGCACTCTTAATAATTCTTAGTCAACCTACAAAATTATTTAAATGTCTTTAGTTTTAAGAGATGTATCTCCGGACGCATCAAATTTTAAATGAACGTCGAAATATTTCGGTAATTCATCTCTGTAACAATTTAAAACATTTAATACATCTCATTCAAAAGTCATTATACATTTGACATGGACCGGAGATGTTTCTCCGTGAATATTTCGGAGATACATCTTTGTAACGTATCAACACTTGATCTTTCATGTTATATTTTGTTTACATGTATTAAGATGAAGATTTAAACTATATCATACAATCGAAAATAAAAAATCTACGTATATAATTTCAAATGATCCAAAAATGTCATACATAAATAAAATACAAATAAATATCGAAAATATCATACAATTGAGATCAATGCAATAGCAAGACCGTCGAAATAAGATACAAACCATAGTAATCATATTATATATTAAGACACTGTTGTGTAGGTCTGACTAGCTCTTTTGTGCCTCCTCTACCTCGTCTACCTCCTCGTCCATCAATTTCATATGTCCTTCAACGTTGTCTTCGGTACAACAATGTCGCATATGCCTCTGTCATAATGACATCTAAGATCTTCCTCATATCAGACCTATCAAGGAAGATACCTTTATCAATGTTTGCTCGCGCAATCTTCATTATGAGACGACACTTAGGCAAGACATCCTTAGCATGATTTAGTTGTGTCTGATCCTTCTCTAGTATCTCTTGATGAGTTGGTATCGACGTATCTCTTGGAGCAGCACGCACCATGTACGAATGTGACACCCTGAAGAACCATCTGATGTACCTTTCAACGTAGCTCTAGTCGCTCTCAATTATGGTAGTATATGCCTCCTCCAGTACCGGATGACTCTCATAATCATAAAACATGTCCTCTCTCTATCTATGTGTCGAGGCAGAATAAGCAGAGATAGCATGGTGCATGGGAATGGTCTGAGTGTAGCTTGATGTGCACTCAAAATCTCAGCCTCATATAACTTCTTCAAGAATTTAAATCTATCACGAGCAGCCTTGGACTTATCCAACTCTTTCGCCTCCATATATCAGCCCTCAAATATTATACCATCATTCTGAGTGCCTTGTCTCTAGTCATCCTCTCATGATTTAGGAAGCTCCCACTGATCCAAAGATATAGCAAACACGAGACATCGTCGAGTGTGGTAGACATCTCACCATGCACGAGATAAAACGACGAGGTCTTTGAGTGTCATCTCTCCACAAATGCATTAAGCATCTCATGGTTAACAGTAATATAACCAATCATGCACAAGTCCTTCAGGCCAGATAAAGACAAAACTAACTAAAATCGATCCTCATTCGGATAAGGCAAGACAACGTGAATCTTTCTCATGTGGTTAAGAAACTTCTGCGGATCACGCTTCTGAAGAAAAAAATGATCAATATCAAAAATTTGTCAATTAAAATTAATTTAAAAAATAATGAATTGCATTAATGATACCTCTCCATCCTAGATATGTGTGGCAGTATGGTCTGAGTACAAAGGCAGTAACGACAAATCAATTGGGCTTCATCCAAATGCCTCTGGCTCAGCATCTGAAGTAGTCTCACCATCCGAATGTGGCATTGAATCAGCAACATCAGTAGTAGGAAGTGTGACTGGATCAGCAACATCTATAGTAAGAGGTGGCATTGGTGAAACCTGACGCCTATGAAAGGATTGAGAGAGTGATGCATCAGATGGTGAATCATGTGTCCTACGGGAAGAAGAAGATATGATGGTATGAGGAAAAATATGAGCCCTAAAAGTAGGTGGATCTGCCTGACTAGAGGGACTAGAAGCCTCTAGAACCTACTGACTATTCTCCCGCCACACTAGTATGTGCTAAGCAACTCTCGTGTGCTTAAGTTTGTCCTGTCTATCGGCCATTATGCATGTAAGTTAAAGTAAAGCGGGCCATTAGTGCAGGTAAATAACACATAAGCAAGAAAAAAATACTACAGAAAATTCTAGAGATGCATCTCCGAAAACTGAGAAACTAAAGCATTGAGAAATTCTAAAGCATCTCTGGAATTTCCTACATCTCAGAAGTTGCGTCTTTGGTGTCAATATACCTTATGCAATCTCAAAAAAACTTATCTTGATCGTCATTTTCAGCCAACAAACATCTAATACACTATGTCTAAACTGCAAGTTCTGTGTCTTTTGGATTGACTATATTTTGGTAAAACAACATGTTGTTAGCAAGATCTTACACCAGATGTTATGCCATGACAGTCAGACATCATGTTCAGCATGATGTTGTGACATGTGTCTGAACATGTTATACCATAAAGTTAAGGCATGACTATTTTGGTATTTTTAGTGAGTTTTTTAGTGTGTTCAAATTCACATGTTTGTGTTATCTAGGGGAGTATATTGTGAAAAAATTTGTTTTGACAAATTATGTTAGTTTTCGTTAAAAGGATCCTTGAGCCTTTTTAGGAAAGTTTGTATTTTGGTCCTATTACTGTGAAGGATGCTTTGCAGTGAGTTTAAACTGACTGTTGTTGTTTTTGGGCATCAAAGAAGCTCAGGTCCATTAGGTATGAAGGTTATTTAAAGAAAGGAGTTAAACCTAAAGAAGACAAATTTGAAGATTGTAAAATTTGGAGAATTAGGATTAGTCGTGTCTTGGTTGGTCTTTAGGGTTTAGTTTGTGTTAATTGTATGTCACCCATGTATCTTTTGATGCATTGAGGTTGACTGATTGTTCATTGTTCATTGTCCATTCCAAAGCTTTTAAGCAAGAGTGTATTATTTTTTGTTGAAGCTTTTAAGCAAAACCAAGTATTGTACTTTGAAGGGTTGGTACTTCTATTTTGTGTAGTTGTTGAATTGTCACTGAGATTGTGACTAATTAAGAAATGAAAGGGGGGTCTCATATCTATAGGGTGTCTAGGTAGAAGTTGCACAAGGTAGAGATTACGCAAGAAGTTGTAAATAAGGGAGTTTAGCTTTGAAATAATACTATCTTATTGGATTTCCTTACTGGCTTAGTATCCCTCAGATGTAGGTGAGTTGTACTGAATTGGGTTAATAATTACTAGTTTATTTTACTTTCCTGTCATATAAGGTTCTGCATCTTTATTTATGTGATCAAGCTGTTTTGATCTCAGTGTTGTGACATTTGTCTCAACATCGGGTATCTGCATGCCAGAATTTCAATTGGCATCAGAGCAGGCCACCTTGCTCTGTTTTTGGGTGAGCTCCAAGAAGTTTGTATTCTGGTACTATGGGCATAAAAATATGAGGAAATGTTAACAGGCCTCCAGTATTGGATGCCACTAATTATGACTATTGGAAGGCACGTATAGTGTTTTCTTAAAATCTATGTATAACAAAACCTGGAAGGTTGTAATCATGGGTTGGAAGCACCTTGTGGTTAAAGATAAAGATGGGAAAGACCTTGAAGCCAGAAGAGGACTGGATTAAGGAGGAAGATGAAACTGCTCTTGGAAACTCCAAAGTCTTGAATGCCTTATTCAATGGAGTTGACAATAACATGTTTAGGCTAATCAACACTCGTACTGTGGCTAATGATGTTTGGGAAATTCTCAAGACAACTCATGAAGGAACATCCAAGGTAAAGATGTCTATATATCAGCTTCTCACTATCAAATTTGAGAATCTAAAGATGAGAGAAGATGAAAGTATTCATGACTTTCACATGAATGTGCTTGAAATAGCTATTGAACTTAGTGCCTTGGGAGAAAAGATATCAGAAGAAAATCTGATTAGGAAGATTCTTAGGTCTCTTCCTAAGAAATTTGACATGAAGGTCATATCCATTGAAGAAACCCAAAACATTAGCAGTATGAGAGTTGATGAGCTAGTGGGATCACTTCAAACATTTGAATTTACCTTGAATGATTGAATTGAAAAAAAGATTTCCCGCTCCCTCATATTGACGTGTTAGTGGATAATATTGCTTAATATTTTATGTTTTTCTTCACGGATGGCTTCTCTGTCTATAACCAAATTAAGATGGCCCCAAAAGACATAGAGAAAACAATTTTCATAACACCGCGGCGAACATTCTGTTACAAAATAATGCCTTTTGGATTGAAAAATGTTGGGGCAACTTATCAGCGGGCCATGGTGGCTCTTTTTCATGATATGATTCACAAAGAAATTGAAGTATATGTTGATGCCATGATTGCGAAGTCTCAAACAGAGGAAGAGCGCCTAGTTAATCTACAAAAATTGTTTCAAAGGTTAAGGAAATTCAAGTTGAGGTTGAATCCGAACAAGTGCACCTTCGGGGTGAGGTCTAGTAAACTGCTAGGTTTTATTGTAAGTGAACAAGGAGTTGGTCCTGCCAATATAGAAGCAATACAAGAGATACCTGATTCAAGAAAAAAAAAGTTGTGGTTTCTTGAGGAGTTTGAACTACATAGTTAGATTCACCTCTAATCTCAGAGCCATATGAGAATCAATATTCAAATTGTTAATAAAAGATCAAGCGGTCAAGTAGAACAAAAACTGTCAAAGAGCTTTTGAAAACATAAAGGAGTATTTGCAGAAATTTCTGAATGCCATGCCTCCAGTAGCAGGAAGACCATTGATAATGTATATGGCGGTTCTTGAGAATTCAATGGGGTGTGTGTTCGGTCAACACGACGAGACATGTAGAAAAGAGCATGTTATCTACTACTTGAGTAAGA